AAAAAAAAAAAAAAAATTGATTTTGCTTGTTGATCAAATAAGAGGCAATCCATAGAATTGCTCGTTTTGAAGATATAAACACTTGTTCATCTTACATTTACGATAATTTAGAGGAAGTTGATATTTTAATAAACAACAAAGAACAAACAGTACAGGTCCAGGTCAAGCCCTGGAATGCTCTTGCACCTTTGGCTATATAGAGGTATTACTCAATCAATTTTAATCATTACGAAATAGCAGGAAAAGTGTACATTCAATGTGTCCAAAAAAAATTATCATGCAATTGTTGTCCACAACAGCTTAATTTCAGGGATTGTGTAGATAAATAACCTTCGATCATTTTTTGACTTTTAGTAATAGATAAAAAACACAATTGGAACTTCAAACTATATTTTCTATAATAAAGTGCACACAGAGAACACTTGATGATAAATAGCTAGAATAGCATGACACAATAGGAATCAAGAGAAATGGCTTTATGTAGCTATGAAAATTAAAACGTGTTGACATTTCTTTCCACATAAGGATAAAAAAGAGAGCTTCAGCACACCTAATCTTTTCATAATTATAAATGAGCATCCTTCAGATAAACCGAAGGGCCAAAGCAGATATGATTGCAAAAAATGGTTAAAAGGGTCAAAATCACACGAATCTAATAGGAAAACAGATGCTTGCAGAAAAGGTCCGGATCCCCTAGAAACCAGTCTTTCTTGGCCAAAAATATGGTCCTTTTAGAGTTAAGCTGGACGGAATAGCTGCAAGAGCTCAATATCAGATGGAAAGATTTCTAATTCAGCAAACATTCTTAAGATGTTTGAGACAGCACCCACCTCATGCAACAATCTATCCCGTCCTTTACACTGTTTGGATTTTTTTTTTGGTTTGGCCTGCCCCCGCGGGGGGTTGTATATCAGAACTTTTTAAGTAAGAGCCAAAATAACCCACAGAAAGACACGTCAAGAGCTTTAGTACAAGTGCAACTTAAACTTGGCTAATTTCAGCTAGTTGTCCTAAATTCTCTTCTATGCACACACCTTGTGAGTCGTACAAATTTGAAGCCCTTTATAACTCATATAAATTTACTTGTTGATATGATTCCTGGCCCATATCAGAGTCACCAAATAATGGTCCCCCTAGGCACTTATTACTGATACCTCTTGCTTTGAAAATATATAAGTTAAGAAACAAACTTTCATCAATGAAAATTGATGGATTGATGAACTACGTGGTTAAGCAGTACATGTACAAACCTTGAGTTAGTTCAACGGAAGGTCTTCGCTCTTTCACCCACTGGTAACTCTGTTCCAGTCTCCATCCTTTGCTTTTCATCAAGTAAGCCATCACAATAGCTGGTGACCTGTCAAAACAACATTATCATTCCCACAGACAAGAGATTAAGTAAAATCAATTGTTCTCCCAATCAAGAGTGTATCATCTATCTAATTCTCATAAACAAGAAGTCCAAAAAATGTCGTCATGGAATTTGGTCCCCCACTAATTGAAGGGGGTGGAAAGGTGGGCTGGATGCATACCAGTTTTTTTTTTTATGTGAGCTGGAAGCATATCTAGCAGTTGGCATTATTCGACCAAAATAAAATTTATATTTTTTTGTAGTTAACCACACTTCGTTGCCAATCTCTAGTTCAATGGTATTTTTGCTGCACCCCTGTTAGAGCATGTGAAATCAAATCATTTTCTCATTCACCATGTAACGTTGATGCTATGGTATTGGATAATTCTAGCAATGCCCTATTTGGGAGGTGTATGCATGTACACGCATGTCTTTTTTGTCTATACCTTCACTCATCACTGATTAAAAAAAAATTCATAACAATTTGAGTTTCAGGGAAAAGTTCACCTATTTTTTCCTGACATGCAGTGAACAAGAATGCGAGCCTTATCCTTTTCACATTGGTCTGCACAGGAAAAAGATGCAGCACTAAAGTCAACACAATTAACACATACACTGGCTTTCTTTTTGTTGTATACATTAGAAAATAGCACGTGTCAAATAACATTACATTGGCTATTTTTAAACCTAGGATATAACACTGAGCACAATTAATTTTCCAGTCCTCAACCTATTGCACATCATTCTTATGACAAGTCTGCAGAAAGGCAAGCAACTAATCATAGACTGATTAATGCTTGACAATCTCATGGCCTACCTCTAATTAACAGCCTAGCTTAAGTTACCTAAGCATGGCAACCAATAGCCAAAAATAACGTTCCTTATTTTATTTTGTGACAAGTAGCCAATAGCCACCACTACAAGATCTCATACGCTCATTATGGCTTGGACTAGACAAAATTTAATTGCAGCAATGGTTGCTATCTTGGTAACACTTGGTGCAACAAGATCAGCTTTTGGGGAGTATGAATATTTCCTTCCATTAGCGAACCACTGAAAATTAGATGACAAACATGCTTGAACCCAAATATATTGTCCTTCACAGAGTCAACTTGGGCACAACATCACAGCAAACATTTCCACGGTAATTCTGCATAACCATCTTCACAGAAAATCAAGCACCCAATCATAGACAGCCAAGTAATTCCTTATCGCCCTCTTTCCCTTACATTCTAAAGTCATAGATATAAGCGCATACGTTCTAACATACGAAATAGCAGTGACTTCCCAGTTGGTCAATATGGAAGGTATCTCTGCTGATGAAACTTGAGGTATTTTGGATTCAATCTTTGGTAAAGAATTGCAACTTAGGACTTCTTCGTCATGATATTTGAACACACTTATTACTGTTTTGTTGCCCTAATATCTACTCGCTCCCACCCCAAAAAAAACACAAAAATAAAACATCTCTCCATAATAAGGTCAGCAATGAAAGAATTGCTTTGTTGCCGCAATGTTTCTTTGCAGTATTGAGAAAGGCATATACTTATATCAGGATGGTATTCAATACTTCAGAGATACTTTCATTAATGAGTTATATCCTTCAAATACTTGACCAACAGCATGGTTTTTTGCTCCTAAAAGTTCCCTTGAGAGGCATTTTCAAAATAGCAAAACTTAAAGGCTACTATTGTCAGACCACGATCATGGCATAACTCTAAGGTATTTTTCCGGTGTAAATTCTTTAACTTAGATGACATGTTTTATTTTAATAAAAATGGACTACTCTAAGTCTCTGACTATAGGGAATAAGATGTTAACAATTCTTTAAAGATAAATAAGCGTGTAAGAAATATTAGTTCAGAACATAAAAGACCAATATACACACCTAGAAATTGGATTGCGTCATCAAATGGTAAATTCTGGTCATCTTGGAGGCAGTGATACGTAAAGGAGTTCTTATAGAGATTTTGACAAGCAGGTACTGCCTGCAAATAGACAAAATTAACAGTGTATGAAATTTTATTACAGATAAGTAGAATATGTTTGCCTTAAAAAAACAAAAACAATTTACAAGTAATGAAGGTTTGTGTTAATATGGAACAATTAAGTCTTTTTTATTTTTTTTGCTAATTGTGATACAACTAAGTGATTTTTCACCATTAACGAGTGTATGAGTACAAAAGGGTGGGGAAGGCAAAGGAAAGGGAGAAGCAAGTGCATTTGTAGTTTCTCGCACTAAGAGAGATCAAAACCGCATCATTAGTCTCTAGATGAAAGTGTAGTAAAAAAACAAATGTCCACGAATCACGAAGGCATGAGAGTATATTTGACAGGAGACTACCATATTAACTAGCCCCGCAACTTTCGTCAAATAGTTTACAGAAACCCATAAACAGAATATATAACATGATACTTTCAGCAAACTTCAAAATCAGAAATAAAATGCCCATGCCATATTCTTCCTTTTCATCCTCTAGGATGTTCCTTTTTCTGATATTTCCATAGAGATCAGGTTGAGAAATCACCACTTACTTGAGTAAAGGTATAACTCATGCTGGATTGGTTAATTAAAAAGTTGTTCTTGTCCCTTCTTAGCAACCCAAGACCTTTTACTTATACTTCATATGATAAGATGAAAAGCAATTAATTGAGCACAAGTATATGGACAAAAGTAGCCTTGTGAAAAAGACCACAAGGGAAGTAAATCGCAGGCCTAAAGGACTCCGCTCCCTAGTTGACTTTGAGCTGAGAGGCAAATTACCATGTCCAGCAGGCATCATGAAGCATCACCCACTCTTGTATCTTATAGATTCTAAATTGAAGTGATGAAAATCAAGAGAAGAGACAGAATATGACAACAATATATTCAAGAAATTGCAACAATCCAACTATGCAGAAATAAGCCCTCCAAATAATGAAATACACAAATGAATGCCATAATCAAGAAAAAATTCCCCAAAAGAAGTTAGCATGAAAAAATCCCAGCATCAGACCAGCTCAAAGCTACATTCTAAGGTTGTAAAAACTGGAGTAAAGCCATAGAAAGAGTGACCTACCAATCTCCACTCAATTCAAACAATAGAGATCCAGCCACAAATATGGATGTTTGCTATTAATGTGAACTACTAACTCCAAGAAGAATTTGCAAATAAAATTTCTACTAATCTAATTCCTACCTCTAAATTGATAACTTACAAAGAGATTAATAATCAAATGAGCAGACCAAGAATAAACACAAATTCATATATTGAACTTCAGGATACGCAGCAATACCAATTACCACAGGGGTGACCATTAAACCAACTCCAGTGGTGCAAAACAACCCAAAAAAAACTTCCACTGTTAGATGTACTCTTTCTATGGGCCAAATCCTATGGACACATGATACAAACCTCAACAAAAAGCAAGCCACAACCTTCAATGATGGCACTCCATAAGCCATTACATTCCTCCTCAGCAAGCCACAACTTTTCTCTTAAAGGATGCTATTCTTACTAGACAAAAATCAAATGCTGACACCAGTAAATATTTCACTAAAAAACCTTACTTGTCCACCACTTGACTCAAAAGCATCATCAACCTGTCCATAATATGTACTTTCCACTAACACCCATTAGCACCAACAAGGCAATATTGAGGGCAAATAGCCAACAGCCTTCCAAAAATAGCAATCAATCACTCTTTATCCATAGAATAGATTCCTAAAAAGATCATCAGGAATTAAGATATTTTTCACCAATCCAAAACTGCCCCCCCAAAAAATAGACAAACATGAATTTCAATCCCAAACCTCAATTAACTAAGCCCCATCAAATGCTTCAAACATATATATTCTCTAAAATTCAGGTTCCAGTTACTGTAACTATGAATGTGACTACATCAGATACGCCAATAGAGTATATGCAGCATCAACATACGATTGATCCATTAAAATTATACAAAGTCAGACCACTCAGATTGCATAGCTTACATTGAGAACTCGAGAAATCCCCTGGGTCTTGAGAAGCTCCGCTCGTGAAGCGTTATCATAGCTACCCAAATACAGAAACTCGGGCCAGATCTCCGACGGAAAAGCACTAACCTGAAGCGAACTCTTCTCGGTGACAGCCGGCATACGGTGGCCACAAATCCCACAAACTTCTCCTTCTTCGTACTTGTGATAGTGCCCACATATCCCACAAGGGTTCTCTCTTTCTCTCTTCCTCGCACTCATACCAATTGATTTGGTTCAGAGTCTTCAGACCCCAGATAATAATCGGCCTCTACGTATCAAAACAATTATGACCCAGATCAGTATATATCCTACAAAGCCTGGATGGATTTGAAATGGCTCTTCTGACTGTCGATGACTCGGTTGAATTGAAATAAATCTCTCTTTTGGGGATTACCCCGAAACTTCGACAACTATCGGCTAAATTGGGTTATTAAATTCTCCGATGCGGGTTTCCTACAAGGCTGTATTTATATGTCAAGAATCAAACTTGCAGGCGAATTTATACGAGAGAGAGAGAGAGATTTGATGGGCGGTGTTAATGAAGTGGGCAATGCTTGAATTTCAGGTTTGTGTAGGATTCGTACAGTTGCCAAATATTTTGGCAACCAACCAATTATTGGGTGCCACTGCCACTCCCACTCCCACTCCCGAAACTTTATGGTGTCCCTTCATCACAGGTTGTGTCAACTTTGATTAAAATGTGATGTTTTGAACACACATGCAATGGATAGCGGGTAAAGAGATGCACTGGGTTGAAGAGTTGAGATAAAGGCTGAAAAAAAATATCATAAAAGGTGTTGGATAGGCATTCAGCAAACAAAATGACCAAGAATCGGAGAAATTGGGAGGGCAGTCCAACACATATCGAGACCTAAAACGGTAAATTTAAATGAGATATTTTAATTTTCTTAATATAGTTTTTTTTTAAAAAAATTCTCATCTTTTTGTTTGATATTTGTAACAAATTTATCAAAAGATAATTATCTATAATATATAATCAAAATATATTTGATCAAAAAGGATCTATAATTAAAAAAAAAAATAAGCTTGAATTTAAACAAAAACCTTAAAATTTGATATTTTGATTCTCTCTCGATCAAAGTTAGATTATTACTCTTCCCAGCAAAATTGAGTGAATCATTTTTAATTAGATTTGACAATATGAATTTTGTGAGGCAGGAGAAGAGAGATGAATTTTGGATTTTATGGGCTAATTTATTAATGAGTCTAGAGAGACCATTGAATATAGAATTTACTTATTAGGCTTAAACTTTACATGGTTATTTTGATATTAACTTAGAATATTATTGATTTAGAGTTTGGACTTTAAATATATAAAATACAGTAAAATGGAAAGGGATACATTAAATTGGAGTTAATTGTAAAAAAATATACAAAAAAAAATGTAGAGGAAAAAAGTACTTAATTTTAGTTTTTATTTGTATCCAAGTTCATAATTTGAAATTTTTGAATTTTTCTTTGACATTTGTGTCCTCCCTTAATTCATGCGATTATTTTTGGAAACTGATTTTTTTTCTTAAATTATATGTATGCATTAAAAATCTCCTAATGTAATGAAAGATTTTATTCTTCCATTTTTTTTTTAGGATAAATGTATACATTATAAATCTCCTAATTTAATGAAAAAATCGATTCTTTGATTCTTCCGTTTATTTTGAGGATAAATCAGTTAGTTTGAATTTTAAGTTTTGTAACAATGTCTTTTGTTATCTTCTTCTTCTTCAGCTCGGAAGCCATTTATCAATGCAAGTCTGAAAAATTATTTTATCTTTATCATTCAATCTAAGCAATTACAAAGTTTGAATTTATGACTCTATTATATTTATATCTGTCATTTTAAAGATGATTATTCTATTTTTTTAATATGTGAACACCATAACAGTGTAACAAGACACTTACCTAAAATATTGTACTATTACAGTTTGTCAAACATATATTTGTATATAATTTCATTCAAATAGTCTATCTCTGTTTTGAATTTGTTACCACATCCACAAAATCACTGAACACTGTCTTTGTTATTATGTATTATTTCACTGTTTTTGTTACAGTGTATTATTGTATTATTTTTGTTACACTATAAAGGAAACACAATCAACAGTTAGGAGATATACATNTATAAAATACAGTAAAATGGAAAGGGATACATTAAATTGGAGTTAATTGTAAAAAAGTATACAAAAAAAAAAATGTAGAGGAAAAAAGTACTTAATTTTAGTTTTTATTTGTGTCCAAGTTCATAATTTGAAATTTTTGAATTTTTCTTTGACATTTGTGTCCTCCCTTAATTCATGCGATTATTTTTGGAAACTGATTTTTTTTCTTAAATTATATGTATGCATTAAAAATCTCCTAATGTAATGAAAGATTTTATTCTTCCNTTCTTAAATTATATGTATGCATTAAAAATCTCCTAATGTAATGAAAGATTTTATTCTTCCGTTTTTTTTGAGGATAAATGTATACATTATAAATCTCCTAATTTAATGAAAAAATCGATTCTTTGATTCTTCCGTTTATTTTGAGGATAAATCAGTTAGTTTGAATTTTAAATTTTGTAACAATGTCTTTTGTTATCTTCTTCTTCTTCAGCTCGGAAGCCATTTATCAATGCAAGTCTGAAAAAATTATTTTATCTTTATCATTCAATCTAAGCAATTACAAGGTTTGAATTCATGACTCTATTATATTTATATCTGACATTTTAAAGATGATTATTCTATTTTTTTAATATGTGAACACCATAACAGTGTAACAAGACACTTACCAAAAATATTGTACTATTACAGTTTGTCAAACATATATTTGTATATAATTTCATTCAAATAGTCTATCTATGTTTTGAATTTGTTACCACATCCACAAAATCACTGAACACTGTCTTTGTTACAATGTATTATTACACTGTTTTTGTTACAGTGTATTATTATATTATTTTTGTTACACTATAAAGGAAACACAATCAACAGTTAGGAGATATACATNTTACACTGTTTTTGTTACAGTGTATTATTATATTATTTTTGTTACACTATAAAGGAAACACAATCAACAGTTAGGAGATATACATAGTTTATTCACACACAATGAATTAATATGGCAAAAACACATGGTAGAAACATTGTATTTCACATAGGCCAATGATTAACTTTTGACAACTGGTTCTGGTCTTCAAATACCGAAGTGCGTACGTATCTTCAAATAGCGAATAAATCTTCAAAAAATAGATGTTGATGATCATACATCAAACGGGCTGAACAGTAGGATTTTTACTTCAAATATGAAACCCTATAGATGTTTAGGAAACAATTTTAGGGCTTATCGTGCGAGGAAGATGAAGTGTTTTTTTGGAGACGAAGAAGTCAAAACATTTTCCGAAGATAAAAGTGCTTCGCGAATAAATATTCCTAAATTTTAGCAGTTAACCAATATCATTGTGTATCTAATTAATTAATTAAGATATATTCCTAAAACCGTTTTAGGAAAGTAAATTTTAGGATGAAGAGATTCGAAAATAAATGCCCCTAAATTTCAGTGGTTAAGATAAATTCCTTGTTACAGTTTTTAAGAAAGAAAATTTACAAAATGAGCAGTTACATCTTTATTTCTCAACAGTGCACTTCTTTCCAAAATATTTTTTTCTATGTATTTTTTTACAATTATGTCTAATTTGGTGTACCAACTTCCAAAAGACCCTATAAAATGAGACATCTTTTATAATNAACAGTGCACTTCTTTCCAAAATATTTTTTTCTATGTATTTTTTTACAATTATGTCTAATTTGGTGTACCAACTTCCAAAAGACCCTATAAAATGAGACATCTTTTATAATTGAGACGTAAAGCCTAGACTTTTTTACCAGTCTTTTGGGCCGCCCCTATCACATTAGAGCTATCTTTGTATAGTAAATTTTCCAATAGAGCAATGTTATTGGTACATAATTTAAAGACATAATTTAAAGACTTAATGATTGTGCCCATTAAATTATGAAAGAGTCCTAACATTAAATTATNTCGAGACCTAAAGCCTAGACTTTTTTACCGGTCTTTTGGCCGCCCCTATCACATTAGAGCTATCTTTGTATAGTAAATTTTCCAATAGAGCAATGTTATTGGTACATAATTTAAAGACATAATTTAAAGACTTAATGATTGTGCCCATTAAATTATGAAAGAGTCCTAACATTAAATTATCACTGGGTCCTAACAATAAATTATCACCAAGTCCCAACACTATCAATCTAATGGTCATAGTATATTAAGTCCCCAAATTATGTCTAAATAACACTAGTGTTTACAATATTAGCAATCATTCACTAAGGGATTGTTCCTTAGTTGTTTCAATTGTAATCTCAATGAACAAGTGTAGAAGATTTTTGTAGAAATTTTGAAACATTGATTCAAATTTAATCTGACTATCTAATGGACTTAATTCTTACAGTTCATATCGCGAATCCTTTTAAAAATAAAAGTTGATTCAATTCAAATAATTAAATCAAAGTTGAATTTTAATAAATTATATTTCAATCTCAACATAATATCATTAAATAATCACTTAATTTTAACTAAAATATTTGTATATGTATGTAAGCNTCAAGGAGTCCTAACATTAAATTATCACTGGGTTCTAACAATAAATTATCACTAAGTCCCAACACTATCAATCTAATGGTCATAGTATATTAAGTCCCCAAATTATGTCTAAATAGCATTAGTGTTTACAATATTAGCAATCATTCACTAAGGGATTGTTCCTTAGTTGTTTCAAATGTAATCTCAATGAACAAGTGTAGAAGATTTTTGTAGAAATTTTGAAACATTGATTCAAATTCAATCTGACTATCTAATGGACTTAATTCTTACGGTTCATATCTCGAATCCTTTTAAAAACAAAAGTTGATTCAATTCAAATAATTAAATCAAAGTTGAATTTTAATAAATTATATTTCAATCTCAACACAATATCATTAAATAATCACTTAATTTTAACTAAAATATTTGTATATGTATGTAAGCAATGGTATCGAATCACAATTGAATTTGATTTTAGTATATCAATAACTATATAAATCTGCGTCTAATTTTTTTTGGTTAACTTTTAAAGGGGGACAAATTCTAAATAATTTTAAAAACTTTATACCCCAACAGTTTTAAAATTTGGAGCGGGGACAATTGCTCCCACAGCTATCCATGTAGATAAGTTTGACAATATACCAAATTTGAATTGAACTTTGACCGGTCCGAATCCGAATATGATTTTAAAAGTCTAATTCAATAATTCGATAGATTTTATTTTTGTAGCCCATATTCGAATCAGACAACGATCTGACATTAAATTTGATTCGAATAACTTCATTAACTAATTTTAACAAATTATACCTAAATTTCTTTAANAATTTTTTTTGGTTAACTTTTAAAGGGGGACAAATTCTAAATAATTTTAAAAACTTTATACCCAACAGTTTTAAAAATTGGAGCGGGGACAATTGCTCCCACAGCTATCCATGTAGATAAGTTTGACAATATACCAAATTTGAATTGAACTTTGACCGGTCCGAATCCGAATATGATTTTAAAAGTCCAATTCGATAATTCGATAGATTTTATTTTCGTAGTCCATATTCGAATCAGACAACGATCTGACATTAAATTTGATTCGAATAACTTCATTAACTAATTTTAACAAATTATACCTAAATTTCTTTAAAATAATCACTTAGTTTTTTATAATATTTATATAAAAATATATAAATAATTCGAATCGGATATAAACATATCCAAATCTAAATCTGAGAAATATAAACTATAAAATTTGGGTTCAAATTATAGTTAAAAAATATCAATTCATATTCGACTCAAAATTCGATCTATTCCCGGGATTACCNTTGAATCGGATATAAACATATCCAAATCTAAATTTGAGAAATATAAACTATAAAATTTGGGTTCAAATTATCGTTAAAAAATATCAATTCATATTCGACTCAAAATTCGATCTATTCCCGGGATTACCCTTAAGGGCATATTCATACTCCATGAATATGACATGTGATATTGTATTTCACCCAATAAATGGAAAAAATAAAAGGCTAATGGACAATTTTGAAAAACCTTTGATTTTTAAAATGATATGTGAACACAACGTTTGAAAAGTTTTGTAGTCAATGTATTCTATAATTATTCAGAAGTATCGGAAAAATCCATCTTGCTTGGTCTGTACTATGCAATGGCTTCTACATCTCAATTTTCTCCGTAAGGTTTTTCTCCCCAGGAAAGATGTAAACTTTATGATTTGTCACCCTTTCATTTCTATTTATATTATCTTCTGTACATTTTTTTTTGTCAATGGTTAGTCACCCACCCACCATATGCTAGTGAGAATTCACTAATATATATAATAAGTCTCACTTAAATTCATAATAAGTAATGTGAGAAAAGGTGAACAAATAAAAAAGGGTGGAGACAAAGGAAAGCACTCAAATACCATTCTGATAAACCCTCACTAGTGGGATCACGATATCTTTGACTGCGTCCGTTACTCCTCTCAAAAACAAACTTAGTTAAGCTAGCATAGCGGTCAACCACCAAATCTTAATGTGGACTCTAAGACTTGAACCTCTAACCTCAAGATGAAAAGTTCGGTCAATACCCTATTGAATCACACCACTCGGTGGTTCCGTGAAGGGAGTTGGAGTAAGTGAGATGATAGCAAAACACACACACACACAAAAAACAAATATTTGCTTTCTAATTAAAATCATGCACAAGATGATCAAGCTAATTCAGCTATGCAGCGGCTTAGCATTCCACTAGGCAACGAAATTTGTATTAAGGCTGTTGAGATTGTGTCTATGCATCTAACTACAACTGTCCAGATACATGAACAAAGAGAGGAACTTTACTATTTTTGAAAAAAAATCGTTTTTAGACAATTTTATACATCAAATAGGGAGAGAGCAATACATCAAATGGGGAGAGGGGAACACGTCGTGGGACGACACTTGAACTAGGGTAGATTGTGGGGGTCGGACGAATCTCTCCCTGCCGGGCTATCTCCCTGCGTCTCATATTCATGATTTGATGGTAGAGTTACATAAACAAATGTGAGGATTGCAATTAAACCATGTTTAAGAAACAATAATGTACAGAGGTGGAAATTAGTACATTTTCTCGCCTGCATTGTACAGAGGTGGAAACTAGTACATTTTCTCACCTACAAGCATTTTTAGCACATACTTGAAGGCATATCATAACCTATACAGTAAATCAGAGGCACACCTTTTTGTGGTAGGGTAAATCAGAGGCTGAATAAAATCTTCCGCAAAAGCCACATCACTGCAGACTGTAATTCTAGCATTAGAGCAGATTATCTCAGCATTCTGAAGGGTGAAACCATGGATTATTGGCAAAGGGAATCCTTTTCCGAGATGTGAGTTTGCATATGGCAGTATAACAGTTTCTATTACAGTCCACATCACTGGCTGCAGAACAAATTCACGGTAATTTATTAGAAGCTCGGAAAGGTAAGTGGACCTCTGGCTAGTTCTCTATTTATGGAAGTAGAAAAAAGAGACAAAAAGCTTCAAAATCATAGTATTAAGATCGAAAAAATAACACCATCCCCCACAGGCAACATCTAAGAGCAGCTAATGCAATGCAATAAATGCTCTTGAAATTTCTGTTTTTGTCTCCATAATTACTAGCAATGTAGAGATTCAGGCCAGATCATGAAAATCTGTCTAAGGATCAACTGTCCCGATCAACATAAAGTCGAACAAGACTAACAACATCTGAAGCTCGGTACTTCAGTAATAATACACCTGTAATGAACAAAATTTAATATCCAATAGAAGAAGCCATGACAATCTGAGCCTTTTAATTTAAGGGAGAGATATTAATGCCTCGAAGTTTAATTTTAGTTTCATTCTAAAGTACACAAAGGCATATCTCATGTCGCACGAAATGAAACCACGAAAGTTAAGTTTGAGTAGGCCTGATAACAATATAAGTACCTGAATTAGGTACATGCGCAAGTTACCAATTTTGCTCCACTTCAACGACATAGTGAATTCATCCAATTTCATGCTGCCANCATTTTCTCGCCTGCATTGTACAGAGGTGGAAACTAGTACATTTTCTCACCTACAAGCATTTTTAGCACATACTTGAAGGCATATCATAACCTATACAGTAAATCAGAGGCACACCTTTTTTTGGTAGGGTAAATCAGAGGCTGAATAAAATCTTCCGCAAAAGCCACATCACTGCAGACTGTAATTCTAGCATTAGAGCAGATTATCTCAGCATTCTGAAGGGTGAAACCATGGATTATTGGCAAAGGGAATCCTTTTCCGAGATGTGAGTTTGCATATGGCAGTACAACAGTTTCTATTACAGTCCACATCACTGGCTGCAGAACAAATTCACGGTAATTTATTAGAAGCTCGGAAAGGTAAGTGGACCTCTGGCTAGTTCTCTATTTATGGAAGTAGAAAAAAGAGACAAAAAGCTTCAAAATCATAGTATTAAGATCGAAAAAATAACACCATCCCCCACAGGCAACATCTAAGAGCAGCTAATGCAATGCAATAAATGCTCTTGAAATTTCTGTTTTTGTCTCCATAATTACTAGCAATGTAGAGATTCAGGCCAGATCATGAAAATCTGTCTAAGGATCAACTGTCCCAATCAACATAAAGTCGAACAAGACTAACAACATCTGAAGCTTGGTACTTCAGTAATAATACACCTGTAATGAACAAAATTTAATATCCAATAGAAGAAGCCATGACAATCTGAGCCTTTTAATTTAAGGGAGAGATATTAATGCCTCGAAGTTTAATTTTAGTTTCATTCTAAAGTACACAAAGGCATATCTCATGTCGCACGAAATGAAACCACGGAAGTTAAGTTTGAGTAGGCATGATAACAATATAAGTACCTGAATTAGGTACATGCGCAAGTTACCAATTTTGCTCCACTTCAACGACATAGTGAATTCATCCAATTTCATGCTGCCAGCAAGATTGTTTCTTAAGATATTGACTGAACCTGAGGCGCTGATTACCTGCATCAAGAGAAAGCCAAGTTATCGAACTGATTAGATTACTATCATCATCACTGTCATCAAACAAAAGGTGGAATATCATGGTCACATGATTCAGAATTTCAAATCCAACTTTGACTCGCATTGAATTAAAAAAGGTACCATTCAGATGCATGTGAAGAAGAGATAGGGACAGGAACTTCTTTACTACAAAGGCGCCATATCTGCCACATGTCTGAATAGCAGAGACGACATTTACTCATAACTTTGTAAGAAACACATGCACACCACAAACAAGAGGAAGAAGAGGGTAAGGGGCTCAAATGGCGGTTCTTAGGCTAGGGTGGATGTTATTAAAGTAATGACCAGAGGAGACTGCATTAGACCATTTCACAAGCCAGCATGCTGTCATGTGCTTTAGGTTGCCATTGAATCTCAATTTGTCTATATTCATGATTTATGACCCAGAAATGAAAAATATTTTTGCCTTGACATCAATGCTTGAATAAAGCAACTGCTATTGAACAATTATACGATCAAATATACAATTTGTGACTTTGTCAACCCTCAGGGTAGGAAACCTCATCTATATTAAGCAAACAGTTTTAAGTATATCTCCAATAAAAAAAACACTATATCATTAATCAAATTATCTTAATGGTTGGAGAGGGGTTGCTTGTATGAAGTAAAGAATAAAGAATAAAAGAATAACATTAAAAAGTATTACCAAATAAACAAAGCCTTAAAATAACAAGACATAAAGATGGGTAAAAAGGGTATCACAAAAACCTTCTTTCCAGGTCTATAAGCCTACCAATGAAATACAAGCGACTGGTATTACATCACCAGCTTCCAGGACATCAATGATCAGGTCTGCATAAACGGTAGCATCGATAGTATGCGGTGACATCCTTATGACAGGAGGAGAAGATAGAGTAATATTCAAATTCATATCATCATTTGGGTATTTCTTGTACAGTTGGGGAACGATAAATCTCCATCCAGCAGTATTCAAAAGAGACTGATCTGGTACTTTGTCTACAATCCACCGCATGAATTCTGCCTGTACACAGAGTGGACTCTTTAAGTTGAGAGAGAGAGAGAGAGAGAAAGCCAGGGTACTGAGGCAACTGATAATGTCTCACACCCATTAGATTTCACAACTTACATTGAAGTACAAGGCTGATGCAGAGTTGAAAACAGTATCATCTAAGGAAATCCCAAGCATTTTTGATGAATTTGTGCAAGAAACTAAAGCTTGAAAACTCTGCTGATTGGAATTTAGAACTGCATCTTTTCCTTTCTCCGTGAATAGTCCGTTGACCTCAAATCCAATGGAAAAATTACTTAATGAAGGGTCATTCACAAAAGTGACATTCAAAGAAGCAATATCATCCACTGAGATTCCTTTTGGAAGACTTTGCAAAAAGGAATCAAGCTTTGGAACTCCTTCTTTGAGTTTCTGCGTTATTGCATTTTCTACTGCAAATCCTATTTGCCCTTCAAAAGCATCCACAACCCTGGCAAATATTCGAAAGGAAAAGAGGAAATTTATATCACACCAAGAGAAAGTCCCCATGTATATTATTCACTAAACGATGAAATTACAAGAAACAACTATTTTTTGAACCTATTTTGAATATATCCTCCATAACGCTGCCTCCCTTCTTTGTCATTTGACATTTATCCTCACATATACACTAGACAACCTTAAATGGCACCTTGAAATACTCTAAACAAGGCAAAGGGACCTACTTAGATAGACAGCCCTATATTTCAAAGGGAATGGAACAATCTTTACCTGATTGAAACTACTAATTTTGCTAAGCAAAATCATGCTTTGNATTTAGATAGACAGTCCTATATTTCAAAGGGAACGGAACAATCTTTACCTGATTGAAACTACTAATTTTGCTAAGCAAAATCATGCTTTGGCCCTTTAGGTGTTTTGATATTCACAAAAGTTATGTTCCAAGCACCAGACAATAAATATAACCCAGATTCCACTACAAAAAGAAAATAAGAATTTCTGTATATATAAATGACAGCCAACAAAGTAAATTAAGTTCTTTAAAGAAAGACGCACCCTTGATAAAGCCAAGACACTCCTCCATCCAACATGATGGACACATCTTTAACATAACAACCACATTCCAGAATGGACAGTTTCAAAGATCCTCGTTGATTCTCCAAGCCCAGGGTGAGCCCAACATCCATGCCTTCAACCTTACCAAGAAGCAACAATCATCAAAACCCCTTATTTGACAGACACATTGAAAATGAGCACCTAAAGACAAACAGACAAGATTCGACTAATAATCTCAATCATTATTTGGTTTGAAAAACAACCACCCCAGGGTTGGTTTACTAACACTGCCATCATTCGATTTGATGATGACGACACTACGCATTAGAGATTGATTGTGCAATATATCACAATGAATTTGAACTCCACACGAGAAAGCCATAAGAATCCTATATATCGTATGTTTGGTATCAAACACCCACATGTCACATAAATCCATCACTGAAGCTCTTTACTTCACTCGAGTTTACATTCCAAGATATCCTATCACTCAGCCTAGCAGTATAACCTATTTACTCAGGTCCCACGTAGATTGGAAAAAAAAATACTTTCATTAAAAATTCCAAAGAACATGTGGTTGAATCTCCAACAAAACTACTTTATATAGTTAAAAATATGATTAAGATGTCTTTTCTAAATTAGGAGAATAGACATCTAACCGGAATTCCCGGTAAGGTCAATGCGTGGACATTAACTAGATAGACATGGAATTGCTATAAACCAAGTACTGATATNATGCATTAGAGATTGATTGTGCAATATATCCCAATGAATTTGAACTCCACATGAGAAAGCCATACGAATCCTAGATATCGTATGTTTGGTATCAAACACCCACATGTCACATAAATCCATCACTGAAGCTCTTTACTTNACCACCCAAAAAAAATAAAAATAAAAATACAGAAATCAAACTTATATACCTCAACAGAAGCATGCCCACTATCTGAAATCTCAATTGGTACAAGAAGCCAAGTACTATACGAGTAATGCCAATTCATACTAAGATTGCAAGTGGTACCCGACGCGATAATAGCGACGCCTGTTTCGCCGGTCTTAACAATCGACGACGTAACATTGATTTGGTAAATTGTAATGTTCGATAGGACAATATCGACATTGCCAACAAACGGAATTCTCGCCGATTTTTCAATTTTGGGTAGTTGGAGGGGTGTGAGAGAAGAGATTTCTTTGGTTATGAGTAAGTCTTTGACGAAATTGAGGCCGTTCTGGGATATGAGGATGGAGATGAAGGATTCGGAAGTGGGTTGGTGGTTGGTAAGGGTGTGCGAGGGTATGAAGAGAGAGATTATGAGGAGGAGGTGGAGCATAATAGGGGACATGGAGAGAGAGAGAGAGAGAGAATTTGGGAAGCTGAGTGCAGAGAGAAGCTCGAGGTTGTGTAAGTTACCAGAAAACAGAGTCGATACTCGATAGTTGCGTTTCAACGAAACAATGAAAATGTTTGAGTTAACATTACCCCTGAATTATGCCCATAAACTAATCTNATCACCAAAAAAAAATAAAAATAAAAATACAGAAATCAAACTTATATACCTCAACAGAAGCATGCCCACTATCTGAAATCTCAATTGGCACAAGAAGCCAAGTACGATACGAGTAATGCCAATTCATACTAAGATTGCAAGTGGTACCCGACGCGATAATAGCGACGCCTGTTTCGCCGGTCTTAACAATCGACGACGTAACATTGATTTGGTAAATTGTAATGTTCGATAGGACAATATCGACATTGCCAACAAACGGAATTCTCGCCGATTTTTCAATTTTGGGTAGTTGGAGGGGTGTGAGAGAAGAGATTTCTTTGGTTATGAGTAAGTCTTTGACGAAATTGAGGCCGTTCTGGGATATGAGGATGGAGATGAAGGATTCGGAAGTGGGTTGGTGGTTGGTAAGGGTGTGCGAGGGTATGAAGAGAGAGATTATGAGGAGGAGGTGGAGCATAATAGGGGACATGGAGAGAGAGAGAGAGAGAGAGAGAGAGAATTTGAGAAGCTGAGTTCAGAGAGAAGCTCGAGGTTGTGTAAGTTACCAGAAAACAGAGTCGATACTCGATAGTTGCGTTTCAACGAAACAATGAAAATGTTTGAGTTAACATTACCCCTGAATTATGCCCATAAACTAATCTTTATATTAATTTAACCCCTCAATTATAAAATCGGACTCGTTCTGTCATCCAAATTCATTATTAATTTTAACATAAACCTTCATATGCACATACCGTGAGTTAAGGATTAGAATACTTAAGACCATACATATAATATTGTACACGAGACTTTTCATTAAAATTAATAAAAAATTTAGACCGAACAATCATATTAAATTAAATTATAATATAATAAGTGACTAAATTGATATAGATGACATAAGATAAGAGCAATTCTAACTCAACTTTCCAAAAATAACTATTCAAAAATATATTTAAATATTATATTTTTTATTTTAATTAGTCATTTTTACAAGTTCACTCAAATCACACCCTCTATTTTAACTAATTAATTCAACTAAAATCTTTCTTGTTGTTTGTCTGGAATTGGGATTGGGAAAAGGGTGAATTTGGGGGTGGGGAGAGAGGGATTTAGAGAAAGACGAGCTTGGATTTAGAGAGGGTGGACACAAACTAGAGCATTGAAAGGTTTTTGTAGATTTAGGCACTATGGTTTCAATTCAAATTTGGGCAGAGAGAGAGAGAGATGAGGATACATACTTGGGTGAAAGACGATAAAGGTTACCTCCGTGACAAATACGATAAGGCCACTTTAGCACAAAATGACATATAACGAATAAACGAAGATCATCACTTTCAGCGAGTAAAAATTGAATTTAATAAAATAACTAATTGGATAAAGAGTTGTTCTAAACTAATTCAAGTTTGATTCGAGAGAATAGTTAGAACAAGTCTCAACGGCTTGTAATCCAAAAAAAAAAAAACCTAGCCATGAACATAAAATTATATTACTTTTATATGCTTTACTCCCTTTTTTTTTTTTACTTTAATATGCTTTACTCTCCTTTTTTTTTTTCATATTTATTATTTTGCCTCATATGTATACCTTATTCAACGTTGTACAACAAAATTGCTTTTCGACCAGAACGGAACCTTTTGCTACAGTGAAACATGGCGATGCAGACTGGGGTTGCGGCCTCCAAAGTTCTTATACTCGTCGGGGCAGGTAATCTCTCTCTATTTGTGATCAATTTACTTGATTACTTTGTATTATTCAATTTTTTGTTATGTTGGTCTTGAGATATAGTCGATTGAATTCCTCAATATATGTATATATATTCTGGTTTTGAACCACAGAAATCCTTACTGTAGCCATAGAAATTCTGTGTTTCTGTAATCAACTACCCAAAAGTTTTCTGTTGATGAACACCTACTTTTTGATTTAGGGTAAGTTCTGGTCAATATCCAATTTGTTGCCAGTTGATTGGGTGTGCTGACGCGTTACAAAGCTTATATTTGATATTATTTGCACAAATTGGATGCCTCATATTCAAACCACCAACCTTGCAACTGTTAGCCCGAGGATTTTATCCTTGTCTAGGCAATGACTTCTGACTAATTTCTATTATTAGATCAGATTCAGTCAGTATTCGCAAAATATGATTGTTATAACTTGGTAATTGTTAACGCAATGTGGGTGATATCCGTTCTTTAGGACTGCTTGATAAGTTCACTATTGTAACAACTCTTGTTCATTAGTTGTATATGACTGCATACTTCATACCCAGTTTCGTTTATTAGATGTTATCTATTAGACATGTGATAGTTGTAGTTTACTTCCTTTCAGCATTTTTATTATCGTCCTTGAACGCAGTTTCATCTAGTTCTTTTTTCAACCTTATTTCGTTTTCTTTGGATGCAATAAGCAACATAAAAAGGGGGGCCTAACATGGCATTTAAATGAGGGGTGGGGGATAGGGGTAGAAGTTGAATAATTCAGTTCTTATTTCGTCAGTGTTTTTTTTAAAGCAAGTAAGCCACAAATTCCTTTTAACAGCTTGGAGATTTTTCTTATGCTTCTCACTGCCATCTAGGTTTGACTGGTTCGGTTATTTTGAGGAGTGGGAAATTGTCAGATGTCATTTCACAGCTTCAAGAATTGATGAAGGGTGTGAATGAAGCTGAGATCTCACCTGGGAAGTATGATACTGCACTTCTTGCAGCTCAGGTATTACTTTTATATAATATTCATAGGAGTTACTTCGTCAAATGGATTATTTAATCAACTACCAGTAAGGAAAAGTCTGTTCAAGTGGACTTAAAAGGCAGACAAATTTTCAATCTTTTGAAACAAATCTTCTAAATTTTAAGACCTCTATGAATTGATGTTGTAGATGCATAATACTCTAAAGTTTCATTTGCTTAGCGAGAGATTGAGAGAAAGTGACGGAAAGAGAAAAAAATCCCATTTTTCTTTCGTTTGTTTATCAAGAATTGGAACTTACCAGATATTTTTTTCCCGCTTAGGCAAAACTTTCCTGCAAATGCTGGGTTTCTTGCAAATTATTCATGAAGATTTTATCTTCCCTGTGAAAATCGGACTCTCCGATTTTGTTTTTTATTTTGCCCATGTTTTATTCAACCAAATCTCCTATTATTGGAAGTTCTTCTTTATGTTTTATATGGTGGTTGAACTCATTGTATACACCAGTACTTGATTGAGTTCAGAGCTTAACCAGATTCACAGCAATGTGGTTTAACAAAAATAATTTAGTTTGCACTAATGATGTGGAAGCTACTGCAAGTTCGATTAGCCCAAGTTTGATATTTGCATTACTAAATTTTATATTGGTAAGGGTGATTTAGACAATTGTCAAAATGTTCCTACAACTTTCATGCTTTTCAAACAACATAATGAAATTTTCCTACATTTTTATTGTAAATTTGTCATGTTAACCAAATGCATGCAATAATATATACATATTTTTCACTTTTCTTTCTTTTACTTTCACTTTTCATCATTCTTTTCTTTATAACTAAACGGACCCTCAGACATCTATTATAAATGTTAAGATTTGTCATATAAGGAATCAAGAATTGAATTTGTACTTCAAAGTTCAAACTATTTGCCTAGAGATTCAACTTTGTGGGGTTTGCTAGTCAGCAATTTTATGGTGTTGAAAAGCTGAGCAATAATTTTGCATGCAATCGTGGATCATACTTGCACAGAGACATGTAAACATAATTGTAGTTCTACTTTCTTTTTTTCCATCATGAAATGCTTGAGTTGTGCAAATTATTTCTGGCTTTCAATGCTTGTCTGTTATGTAATTAAAACTCTTCTATGGAATTTGAAGAAAAGAGTAATATATGGATAGCATGATAGAAGTTGCGCTCTTATGCTGGGCATGTGGTGTACATAGGCATCCAAACTAATATTGTCAAAAATGTTGTACATGTCTTAATTTATAGCTGGAATGTTGCAAAGGATCAGTTGCAGTTGTAGTGATAAATATTAATTGACCTTATGAAAGCCTTATTTTTTTTTCACATTCTCTTTTTATTTTTTATGGGCCTTCGCCTTCAGATACGACAATTGGCGCAAGAGATCAGGGAGTTAACAACATCTAGACCTATAACCATTTACAATGGAAATTCTACCTCCAGTGGTATGTGAGTTGAATTATCTTGCATGTTTTGGTTTAATATGTTCTTTAACCGGGAACAATTAACAAACGCACCCTCACATATACAGAGAAACATGCACGAAGTATAATACCATCTGTTAAATTTCAAGATTGTGAGTAATTGATCAAAAACTCTCTTATTAAGCACGAGTCAGAAATTCTCATACCACTTGATCATAATCTTTCATAAATTTCAATTTACCCAAAATTTCAAATTTATGGTATTTGCTACTATTCCTCAATCACTGGCTATAATGGATGCGTTTGAGGTTTCGTTTGCACCATTTGCATATATTTTGTAACGTTCAAAAGCTTTTGTCCCCAACATCATCTATTATTCAGAGATGCTCATGTCTCCTTTCGTTTGTACAGGGAGTTATGCTTCTTACTTAATGCCAGCCGCAGCACTTGGAGCAATGGGATATTGTTACATGTGGTGGAAGGCAAGAATTTACTAGTAGCACTAAAAGCCATTATACTTTTGTGGTGCTAAATTTTCTCTATTTGATGTGCCCTTATAAGCATATCTATGTTTGGACTTTGGATTATAGTGGTCTAATGGTAATGGTATTTACATTATCTCGGTGATTTAATCTGCAGGGCTGGTCCTTTTCTGATGTTATGTTTGTGACAAAGCATAATATGGCAAATGCTGTTGCAACTGTGTCAAAACAGCTGGAGCATGTATCTGAAGCAGTTACTGTAAGTAGGATAATTACTGGGTTGATGTGTATTAACTTATATTTCTCAGGGAAGTTATCAGCTTTTGTGCTAAGCTGTGCACTTGGCTATTGTTTTAATATCCATTCTGCAGTCAACAAAGAGGCATTTAACAAAGAGGCTGGAAAATTTGGACTGGAAGCTGGATGAACAGAAGGAAACATCTAAGCTTATTGCAAACGATGTAGGGAGCACTTTTCTGGTTTTAGTTTGCTACACGTATCTATGTATTCACACACGGTGAAACATTTTCCATACAAGCAAGAGTTCTTAGTATCCTGTCTGACTTAGTTTCATTTGACTTATTCTTGCATGGTTAATTCATCACTCATTAAGTCATTATAGTAAGAGAAAAACATTGTCAACACCCTCTCATTTTTCTATCCTTCTCATTCTTTATATATTTAATCTTTTCAGAAAATTGTTTTTTTTTTTTTTTGTTTGATTATCCTGGAAATCTCCCATCCCACCCCTTCCCCCATCCAGCGTGTGGAAGGTACCAACACTGATCCTCTCATTATGTTTTGGTCTGCATATTTCATNATCCATCGTGTGGAAGGTACCAACACTGATCCTCTCATTATGTTTTGGTCTGCATATTTCATATGATTATGATATGGTAAACTTCTTAAAGAAAAAATGACAGTTTTGTATCAACATCTTACATAGGTAGGACCTTTTTGCTAAATAAAGCTGCATACTTTTGATATTGATGTTGATGGACATAAATCAAAATATAAAAATCAGCAACAGTGACGGAGATAGAGTTGACAGGTAGGGATTTGCATTAGCCTAAATATGAAATCAACTAATTGAGATGCTTAGATTCTCCAATGTTCTTTATTATGCAATGACATGCTACAGTCATGCATTAGTATAACAGTATGATCTACACCGGCTGGATTTGTTTTTGCATTTGAGGAAATTTAGGAGAAGAAGTTACGGTGATGTCATAGACTTGCTTCAGGGGACATATACATTTTAATTATTGCTATTTTGCGCTAATATTGTTTGTATGCAGGTAAATGAGGTGAAGTCCAATCTTAATCAAATTGGTTTTGATATTGAATCAATTCATCAGATGGTGTCTGGTTTGGTTAGTTATACCAATTTTACAGTTTATCTGGCAAGCTGAATGTGGATCTACTTTATCATATGGGTCCTTTTCTAATGCTTTTGTTGTTGATCCACTCAACAGGAAGGAAAACTTGAAGTTCTTGAAAGCAAACAGGTAGCATTTCTGATTCTGTAATAAACAATTCATTCCTCCATGAAAAGTTTACTAGTGTTTTGGCAATTAATAACTGTTTCCTTTTATCTTTTCTTGGTCATACAGGACATGACTATTTCAGGTCTGTCGTATTTGTGCCATGTAGCTGGAGACATTAAGGATGGAGTAAATCCAAAACTTATTCAGGTCAAATTTTTAGGAGAGATTCTTTATGCCAAAATGATCATGAGGTTTACATGATTCATTGCTTACACAGCTTGTTCTTCTTGAAATAAACTCTATTTGCCTTGGAAAAAACAAAGGACAACCAAAAATAGAAAATCACAATACACAATTGCACAAAGTTTCCTAATCTACTTGAATTCTTTGCTCAATTAGTCCACAACTAGGAAACACGAATATAGATACAGAAAAAATGTATGATCTAATATGGATACCATGATGCAACAAAACTTGAAAAAAATTAAATTGTTCGTTTGGAAATTTCCCGAAAAGCTAATCATAGGTTCTTCTCTCCGTCGGAACAATAGGGCCGTTATGCTCATTACAAATCTAATTCTTAATTCTATAGGGTTGAATAAAAATTCAATTTACCATTTGATATAATTGCTAAGCTTGGTGTGTGACTCGATTAAGAGATAATTAAGCATGCCATGACGTTGTTAGGATCTCATACAGGAAGATTTCAATTCTTCCATGTTTCGGCAGTATGCCAGTAGCATATTGTTCCATGGAGCTAGGGTCCAAAATATGGAAGAAACAGGCAGAACAGAATACGAGATTTTGAGTCTTTTGTTGATCAGGCGACACCCAGATTTGAACTGGGGAAAAAGGATTTGGAGTCCCCTGCCTTACCACTCGTTATGGACTAGTACCAAGATTGACTCCTAGACAAGCAAACCTAATTTTAACAGCCGGAACAGTAACAATGAAAATGGCTCCTTCTTTAGTGAGATTATATGAGCAAATGCCTGAACCAAAATATGTTATTACTATGGGAGCATTTACAATTATAGGGGCGATGAGGTCAAGATACATATGTGAAAATGTATCTTACATGTTTATTATCCTGTAACTATTTGACAACTATACTTTTTACTAAATTCTTTACAGATAAATCCAAAAATAAGCAATTATTTCTTTCAAAATAGCATAAATCCCTCTCATCATAATAGAGCCACAAAATGAACGTGACTAATAAAGGAATCGAAATCAACATTTGAACTTCTTGTTGGCAAGATATATGATGTAACTAACCCATTGTATGTCCTTTTGACATATGGTAGTAGATAATATTTAAGAACCACCCAAGTGTCTAGCTCCATGTTCTCCTTGCATATCTGAGGAATATTCATCTTAAATACCTAGAAGTATCTGAGGCTTACCCAAAAATTAATAACTATCTTATTAATTATTGAGTACGTATGGTGTGTATGCGATACATATCGGATGAGTATTATATTTGATATGATATCTTATGCGGATACTTCGACTTAGCCGAAGTATTCGTGCTCCACATTGTATATAGAATTAACAAGTTTGCTTAAATAAGCACTCACAAATCACAATAGCATAGTGATTTCCTTGATTGAAATCAGTTTTTCCAATCAAAGTGTTCGTGATAAATTCTGAAAATTGGACCTTGGGCTAGTTTTCCGAACACGTGAATGTCACAGAGTAAGGATATATCTCAGCTTCAGGGTTTCAATCAAATAGAGATTTTTTACTAAGCTATCATGACAAATATTGTCCATATTGCATGTCTTTGTTGTCTTATTCCTCCATCTGATTGGTTTGTCAATAAAATCTTTTGCTTATGTTACTTTCAATTAACTTGGCTTTCCTTTGATGTCAGTTTTGTATGACGTAACTTAGATTTATGAAAAGTTCTTGAATATTGATAAAAGAATCTTGTAATTGTTTACATCCATCAGAAGTCAGAACATAAGTATTGCTACCCTTAGATTTAAATGTTTTGACCACTAAGTGACACCTCTAAGACCCATCTTCCAGTTGATGATGAATATGGGTAGGTACTAACATTTTCTCAATTTTCTTTGAGGAATGTAGTCAAAGTTTTCGTTCAATAGACCTGAAATGGAACTTGCGAGTGATTCTGGTACCAGTACATATCATTCCAAGTGGAAAACCAAAATAGTACTGGAGGCAAACTTAGTAACAGTGATTTGATTTGAAGGTTAATCACAACATATTTGGACAACCATTTTAGGATGGCCTGGTCATTTCCTTTAATTTTCTTGTTATATTTCCAGTTCTCAACCTTCTTGGCAAAATCGGATCAAGGACCATATCCTTTCCTGGCCTAATGTAAAAAAGAGGGGAAAATAAGGGGCACTTCCTTCTTATTCTTTCTTTCAATATATCTCCACTTTCTTTCCATTATCAAACTAAAGAAAAGCGCTAAGCCTTATCTGCTTTTCTGCCTTTATTCTTTTGATCTTCATTTGATTTATCTTCATAGAAATTTTGTAGGCATCATTTTGGGTCTAATTGCTCTAAATACCTGCACCAATTATAGTATTTTTTTTCCTGAAGTTTTGGGGATTTTGCATTTTGATTTCATGGATCCTCGTGGTTCTCCTTTTTATGGAGGTATATTATTGGTCTTCTTTTCTCTCCTGTTTATTGAGTTACATTTCTTGTCTTGATTGGGCAGGATATTGGTGCTAAGCTAATAGAACATTCAACTGCTACATTTGAGGATAACTCAACGAAGGTATGTCAAGTAACTTGAACATTCCACTGTGAAGTTGTATTGCCATTCTAAAGCTGACTCAGATCCACAATAATCTTTCAGGGGCTTCAGTTCATTGCTGAAACCAATGAGTCAAGTGCAACCGAGAAATTGATTATTAGCACCAAGAAAAGTGATGGTGACGATTATCCTGTCAAAAGTGTTTCAACTATGAAAACAAGAATTCACAGGTCTTATCCAGTTGGTATATCGTTGACCCGAAATGCCCTGGGTTCGGAATTGTAAGATTGTTGCGATGCACATATTTGTTGCTAGGCATACAAGAATGTATTTTTCTGGCTGGCTTTGATTTGGGTCATCACCTCTCCAGAACAGTATGTTGTGTAGCTTAGTATCCTGGCAATTCTTTTGAAGGAAAATGTAATTCTTCATGAACCATTCGTTGTTTGTATCAATACCGATTCGATCCGAGCTCTTGACATTAATAATACACTTCTTCGAACTAATGTGTTTTCTTTCTTTTTGGTAAAAAGGTATTTTCTCCTTTCTTTGACTCAACTAAGTGGTGTTTCTATTCATTCCTGAGAGTTATGATAGATTAAAGTCCTATTACTGTTTAAACATATCGAGTTGCAACTTATTAGATTCGAATTAGAATGATATCAAATTTTTTAGGTTTGATTCAATTTTGGACCTCGTTGCCGAAAATCTCGAAGGTTTGAGCCAACTTTGCCTCGTAGGTAATTATAACCTGATTGAGACATAAATTGATATCGTTAGTTCATATCTTATTCCAATTTTTTTGGTACTAACCAGTGAGATGGATCTACTTGAAGACAATGTTTAAAAACTTGGGAGAATCTTACTTTGTACCCTGAAAGATTTNACTTGATTTCGTTAGTTCATATCTTATTCCAATTTTTTTGGTGCTAACCAGTGAGATGGATCTGCTTGAAGACAATGTTTAAAAACTTGGGAGAATCTTACTTTGTACCCTGAAAGATTTAATCTTTTTCACTTTGTACTCTCAAAGATGAGGTTTCTCACATTGTATTCTTAATGCATTAAAAGTGTTGTAATGTAGTCATTTCATTGCTTATTCCGTTAAAATCTATCCATTGATGTTCATGGAATGAGTAATAGAAACTGATAGAAGAGTCACATTGTAACATTTCTTTCAGGGTCCAAAGTATAATTCACTGTAAAAAAATTAGTAAAACAAAAATTATTAGTCTTTGCTGAAAAGTAAATAAAAGGTATTTTCATNTGATGGAATGAGTAATAGAAACTGATAGAAGAGTCACATTATAACATTTTTTATACATTAAAGGTGTAATGCGAGAAATTTATTATTTGAGGGTAAAAAATAAAAATTCTTAAATCTTTCAGGGTCCAAAGTATAATTCACCATAAAAAATTTAGTAAAACAAAAATTATTAGTCTTTGCTGAAAAGTAAATAAAAGGTATTTTCATAGTCTGGAATAATAAACCAATCAAGGCAGTATGGAGAAAACATCCCCATTCCAGTCTAAAACTGAACAAACAGACAATAAAGTTCCCAATAGAACAACTCAATTAAGAACACTACAAAGAAAAAGACACCAGAACAACCTATAAGTGAACAAACAGATGACAATGTCATCATGTAGAGCTACAAGGGGGAAATATTGGGCAGGGACAAAGATGGCTCAAAAAGGATCAAAGATGGCATTTGTTGAACTTCAGTGTTTCCTACTTTTACAGAACAAGTTCACCCTCTCCGATGCCTTTCTGGAATGAATGCTGCGCTCCTTTTCGCCCTGAAACTACGATACTAATTTGTTTCTACATTCTAAGTCCATGAAGGTGCCANTAAAAAAGGATCAAAGATGGCATTTGTTGAACTTCAGTGTTTCCTACTTTTTACAGAACAAGTTCACCCTCTCCGATGCCTTTCTGGAATGAATGCTGCGCTCCTTTACGCCCTGAAACTACGATACTAATTTGTTTCTACATTCTAAGTCCATGAAGGTGCCACTGCAGGTCGAAGGAGCAGCCCATTTTCAATAAACATAATGGTTGATTTACTTGTTATCATGCTTAGAGTCCATGTTTTTGGAAGATTTTATTTCCTTCATAGAAAATTACTATGTTTAGAAATAAATTTGTTATGAACAAGTCCAAGCCATAATTAGTAATTCTAACTTTCTGAGTGAAGTTCAAAGGACTACAGTTTATTAANACGTTTTTGGAAGATTTTATTTCCTTCATAGAAAATTACTATGTTTAGAAATAAATTTGTTATGAACAAGTCCACCCCATAATTAGTAATTCTAACTTTCTGAGTGAAGTTCAAAGGACTACAGTTTATTAATCGATAGTTCTGAATCATAACACAGACAAGGAGGATTGTGATGATATATTTAGAAGCAAATTACACCCTTAGAAATTGCATTCTGAACAGAGTAATGGGAACTTATTTTTGTTCATAGATTAAAAAAGCCACTTTCAGTTGTTTCTGGTCACATGTCAGGTGACACTTGTGATGTAGCATCTTTGCATTTCATTTCTCTCTTACTTCCTGCTTGCTTGGTCTTCTGCTTTTTTGCAATTTCATCATCCCTTGCACAAATTTTCTTGCTCACCTATAGCAAATTCAAAATCTAAGTGAAACAATGCAAAGAGATTGAAACAATAGTTTAGTGAAATATGGACCTGAGTTGTTTTAACCAATGTTGCTTCAGCAAGGGAACTTCTACCTTGATGTGCTTGTTTGAGTAATGGTAGCTCGGCAGAGTTTTCTGTCGCGATAGGCTTCTTGTAACCTTAAGCCTGTTCTTCGCGGGCCTAAGCTTGTCTCTCTCTTCTGGTGCTATTATGGAAATGCTGTCGAATTGGACTGATACTTCATTAGATCCGCAACTCTCTTCTTTTTTTGTTATATCAAATGAACTTCTTCTGATCCCTTGCCTTTGGTTGGTGTGAAGTGGTTCAAGCTGCTTGCTTATGTAGTTTTCAATCAAGAAATTTTCAGGTTGGCGTGTAGCCATCCATCTTTCTAGCCAGCTCCAACCNGGCAGAGTTTTCTGTCGCGATAGGCTTCTTGTAACCTTAAGCCTGTTCTTCGAGGGCCTAAGCTTGTCTCTATCTTCTGGTGCTATTATGGAAATGCTGTCGAATTGGACTGATACTTCATTAGATCCGCAACTCTCGTTTTCTTTTTTTGTTATATCAAATGAACTTCTTCTGATCCCTTGCCTTTGGTTGGTGTGAAGTGGTTCAAGCTGCTTGCTTATGTAGTTTTCAATCAAGAAATTTTCAGGTTGGCGTGTAGCCATCCATCTTTCTAGCCAGCTCCAACCCATGTTAGGGTCTGTGCCATCGGATTTGGTTTGTTTCTTCTTTGAACAGATTCTGAGCTATAAACAGAACGAATGAAATTGAGTTTGACATTGGTCTTACTGTCCTTGAATCTATTAAGTTCTCAGATATACCTGTTGTGCAAATGCATAAGCCAGAGCTCTCTCGCGCCTAGTTGCTGCCTCTAATCTGTGTTGAATCCTCATTTCTGATATGCTGCTACACAAGGTGCTATCATCCCAATCTTCCTGTCAACGACATAGAAAATCAAACAATTTCACTTTAAATAACTCAATATTGATTACTTTAATCTTGATCTGCTTGTTCAATGTTTTAGATGGTTCATGTAAAGGGTAGAAATCGCTACGGATCTCATCTCTCCACTCGAAGGATTCCACCGAGCTCCAGTAGCCTTTACCTTTCTTTGCCAATAGGAGCCACTTGATCAAGTGCTAGTGGGAACCTCCTCCTTTGAGTGCAAGGGCTTATATGCGAGGGGGGAAGACGATTCTCTTCCGATGTGGGATTACCTTAGGAAAGGGTCCTATTGGCGAAAAGAGGTAAAGACTACTGGGGCTCGGTGCCGCCAAGTCAGCCGGAATCCTTTGAGTGGAGGGATGAGGTTCGTAGCGATTTCTACCCTTTACCTAAGGCAATCTCACATCGGAAGAGAGTCGTCTTCCCCTCTCGCATATAAGTCATTGCACTCAAAGGAGAAGGTACCCACTAGCGACCTGATTAGGTGCCTAGTGGGTACCTTCTCCTTTGAGTGCAAGGGATTGCCTTAAGAAAGGGTCTTAAGATTGTTATAGAAAATGGTCCTATTGACGAAGAAAGGTAAAGGCTACTGGGGCTCGGTGCCTCCAGGTCAGCCGGAATCCTTCGAGTGGAAGGATGAGATCGCTAAGAGAGGTAAAGGCTACTGGGGCTCGGTGCCGCCAGGTCAATCAGAATCCTTCGAGTGGAGGGATGAGATCCGTAGCGATTTCTACCCTTTACAGTTCAGTATAATTGAACTGGCACCAACAATGTCAACTGATGACTTCTATGTATGTGGTCTACTGTCAATTGTTCTTGCCCTGACAATTTATTGGGCATTATCATCTACTTTTAGGAATTGGAGCAATAAAAGTTTGGCATTTTTACCTGTAGCTTCAGCACTTGAGTTCTAGCTCTCGGTGGCAATCGAGGGGGCACAGCAAAGCTTTCCTCTCGAAGTGAGAAGGCTACAGCCGAGTTTGCAGTTTGAACTGCGATTGATGTACCTATAGACACCCTACTTGGACTTCCTATTTCTACACCGAGCTCTTGTGCAGCATCCACCAACTTGATTCCTTCATTACGACGCTTTGCCTGAAATTATAAGCACCCAAAATTGCTCAAAAAAAAGGATCTTTTAACTCAGAATTGAGAAGCTGCATAATTTGAAGTAAAATATATTGTTTGGTATTTAACATTATCTTTGTTCAATTGTTCTTACTTTCAATATTCATCAGGAAACTAACATTGTGACAACCAAATATAAACATATACAAATGCATATTTGTCTGAATTTCCACTACAGAACCCACAACACTACCATGAGCTTTGCACTAAACATGTATCAAATTGTTGCAAAATGTGTAAACTTTGTAAGAGACTAATTTTTTTTTTATTCCAACAAAAAAGATGTATAGATAAATTTCTGACTGTGTGAATTGACCAGAAAGCTTCTAAATGCCGACTGGATGACAATTGCTGCATCATCTTTTCGAAACAATTTTGCCGTTGAATTCTGCTTTTCCTCTTGTGTTTCTTCATTGGNCCTCTAAATGCTGACTGGATGACAATTGCTGCATCATCTTTTCGAAACAATTTTGCCGTTGAATTCTGCCTTTCCTCTTGTGTTTCTTCATTGGTTTCTTTGCTTTGGATCTCTCCTTTTTCAGTAAAGTTCTCTATTATGGGTTGTGTGACAGTGGCCTCAGAGTTATTGGCAGAAGCTGTATCCTCTTCCAGAAGTACTGAACTCAATTCAGGCTGTGTAGTAGCAGCTCTGGTGCTCCTAACAGAAGCTGAATCCTCCTCTGCAATGGCTGAATTAAGTTCATCACCACATAGGTAAGACCTAACTGAGCTCCATCTTCTTTTTTCTCCTGCATTGCTCCTTACCTGCTTGGATCAGAATATCAGTAATGTTATTCCCCTCAACAATACCCTGGCGGTCAGTAGACGAAGAATTAAAATAGTTACAGCCAGCTCAGAAACATAAGCATATGGACACTGTGACTTGGAATTTAAGTCAAACTCTGGGGGATTAGATGTGCACATGAATTGACAACTAGCTCATACAAGAAGCATGTAATTATAATGCAACTTCGAGAAAACCAGTAAGCTAAAGTGAAATCAACTCACATTGCTCTCATGGGCTCCAACGGACCGGCTTTTGGAAAAGACACTCCTAACCAGCTCCCCAGTGATACCCATCTCAGCTATGCAATCCCAAAGCAGAATCCTCAAATTGGTTGTCTCTAACTACATAAAAGAAGCCCATCTAGAATTGCAAATGCTTCCTATTTAAATCATGAATGTGAGAAAAAGTGTAAAACTGGTGGTGATATACTTTATTCTGCCAGACTCAGCAAATTGCTTCAATGCTTGTACTGTATACAGCTAAAAGATCAATCAGGATGTTTAATAGAAATAACCACATGTTAAATAGAATTAGGTTGGAAGATCTGAAGGATTTGCAGAACTTTAGAGCTGGAATTGGGCCCTTTAAACAGACAAAGATGAATAAAAACTGTAAAGTGAAGAGGAGATAGAAAGGGGTTGGTTTGAGGAGTACTTAGTTTTATTTGCTTTTGCATTACTTTTTTGCACATGTCTGTCTGCACATTGACCTCATAAAGTTTGCTTGCTGTTGGGGTTATGCCTATTCCTTTGTGTTGATTGCTCTTGCCCTTCTATTAAAGTGGCTCTCATTGAGTTGCTCTGATAGCTTTTTTTTTGTACCATACAAAAACATGACAACCCCAAGTATGTCACTTTTCCTAGTAAGAGTAATTTGATATATATCAATTGCAATGCAAGAGATATAAATAGATCGAAATTAACTTTGATAACTTACATAGATTATGATCAGCAAAATAGCAAAACATTATTCATATAATCGACCCCAATTGTTAGGATAAAAGCCTTCCTTGTTGAGTTGAGAATAAAAATGTCAATACTAAATGATAGTTCAAGTGATAACAATGATAGACTATAAATTCAGACGTCTTGAGTTCGAATTTTGACAATCTCTTATGCTCCATTTGATAGGAATGATGGAAAATAGGAAGGATGAAAAACAGGAAATATTACATTTTTTATCATTCAAGGAAGGAAAATAGGAATGATACACTTTCCTTCCTTTGTGTTTAGTTGGATGGATGAAAAATAAAAATGACTAATTTTTTTTTTTTGTGCTGACTAAGATTAGGGGTGGCAATTGAATTGTGTCGTGCCAGATTTGTGTTGAATCATTATAAGTTTGTGTCGAACATTAGTCAAATTTAAGTCAACTCATTTAATTAATTGTGTCGTGTCAAATTACGAGTTGATTTGTTTATTTTCCTGTCGTTTTCGTGTTGATCCACATAAATTTTGACTAAAAAATATAATGCTAATATTCTATTTTCACTTACTTGAATCAATGTTAATATTTTTTCTACAAACTAAAAATTTACTTAAATAAATATAATAATAATAAGTAAAAATATCTTTTATATATAATAATTATGTCAGTGTTTAATAAATAGTTACAAATAATTAACATTTTATGTCTATAATACTAGTTAAATATGTTAATTTTGTGTTACCGTACAAACGAGAAAATAAAAAAAATATTTATTTTTAAATAAACAGGTTGATTGTGTCAATTTTGAGTTTGATTGATTGAACTGAATATGAGCTTTTTATATTTTTTGTTCGCGTGTTAGGTCATTTTTAAGTTCGTGTCGAGTTATAATCAAATTCGTGTCAAGTTCGAGTCGTGTCATCGTGTTTAATCGAAAATTTTCACCCCTAATTAAGATGAAAGAAAATATTTTATTAATTTAAAATTTTAATATATATATATATATATTATCATTGTATTTATATATGAAATTAATGTATACATAATATATGTATATATCAAAAGATATATAGACAAATAAGATATATTTCAACATAAATAATTAATTTTTCATCCACTGTCCTTCTAATTTTGGTGAGTTAGAAAGAAAATTAATCCATCAACTTTTTTATCATTCATATTTTTTCTTTTCTTACCAAATATAATATTTTATTTATCCTTCTAATTTTTTCATCTTTCCAACTTTCCATTATATCAAACGGAGTATTAGGGTGAGACCATGAAGAAATTATTTCTCATAAATATCCTAATCCCTGACATAAATGACTTCTTTTGATCGAAAAAAAAATTATTAAAATATGTGTATACTGGTCTCAATACTTTGACTGTTTGAAAAAAAAAAAAAAGGAGAATAGAAACATGGCAATGCCATTGAACCTTGCTTAGGGAACCAAGAGTACTAGTTACAAGAGCACCTGCTTGGTGGTGTCTTGTCGGTACCAAATTGATATGACCCGAAGATGGTCCAAAAAATTGTAAATGAAAAATGCATGTTATGTTACTGTTATGTTATGCAGTGTATAAGTTGCTTAAAGGTTAGCTAGATACATGTTTACATCCTGGCTTTTTAAGTGTACTTCTGAGTATGAGATGGGATGGGATGGCTTCTACCTCCCTAAGAACCACACGAGCGAGTTAATCCCTTGGTTTGTAGCCAAGGTATTGGCTAACGTATCTGCTAGAGCCAAGCTTTGACTGTGATTGCTCGTCGTTTCTAGCCATCCTCTTCCTTTACCCAAGATTACCCAAGATCTAAGTCGGCAACAACAAAGATCTCTTAGATTCGAAAGCGAATCTTCTAGATGCGACTTGCCAGGGACAGGGCCACGATTTTTTCATATTAGGAACAATTATTATTATGTTGAAGATAACGATGGAACAAACATCATTACTACTTGTTGCGTTTTACAAATAAATAGTTAATAGACTTGTCAACTGTCAAATTTTGGTAGAATTTTAATTGATCCGAACTCGATTCGAAAATTTGATTCGAACTCAATCTAACTACCTACCTAAAGAACTTAGTTCTTCAAGTTCATATCTCAAAATTTTTTAAAAATAAAAGTCGAATGATTCAAGTAATTAAATCAGAGCTGAATTTTAATAAATTATATTTCAATCTCTAACACAATATTATTAAATAATCACTCAATTTTAACTAGAATATTTGTACATGTATGTATGCAATGATATCAGATCACAATTGAATCCGATTTTAGTGTATCAGCAACTATGTAAATCTGCGTCTAATTTCTTCGGCTAACTTTTTAATGGAAACAAATTCTAAATAATTTTAAAATTTTAAATGAATCCCCAAAAGTTTAAAAATTAGAGGCTCAAATTGCACCCTAAATCCTCCGGAGTGTGATGTCATTGATATGCATGGAACTATAGAGAGTCTCGTTGGAGTGGTATATAAAAATTTATTCTTTATTATAATTTTTTACTTAACAAAAAAATGGTTAACAATAGAATATAAGTCGGCAAGTGTGCTCGTTTGCCAATAGAGTTATGTTATTTGAATCTAAAAATTTGACCTAATTTGTTAATTTAATAATATAGCTTCATTAGAACCATTGAATCAACACCAAGTTTCAATATTTGAGGGGACTTAGACTTAATTTAAAAGTCATAATGAATTAAGTTAACAAATTAAGTCAATAAATTAGGCCCCAATTACATTATTGGAGGAAAAATTATTCTTCCAAGGGAGTAAAAGCTACGGATAGAGGTGTTAATCAAGACAAGCTACAAGGTTTTGGACTTAGGCTCGGCTCAAATAAAACTCGGCTTAAACTCGACTCGTATTCTAAACAAACTAAGCATGAACAATTTTTTTAGCTCGTTTTTCTAAACAAGCCTAAAAGACTGGACTCAAGTTCACAAATCTCGATTTGTTTATATGTAAAATAGTCGAGTTACTCAGATTCGGCTCAGTTTCGACTCAGACTCGATTCGAGTCTTAAATGAGTCAAACTTAAATAATTTTTTAGACTTGTTTAGAAAAATAAGCTTGTCAAACTTGGGCTTAAACTCGTAAAGTTCAATTCAATTAACACCCCTAACTACGAAACACAAATAAAAACTCAAAAACTTACATCTCAAATGATGTAGCCTCCTGATAAGTGCGCGAAAATGCATTTTAAATACTCTATTATTGGATTAAATTGCTGAAATATGAATATAAATAATTAGATATAATTTATATTATTGAATTTAATATATATTCACACTGAGATATAATTGAGCATGATTTTATAATATTTTAAATCTTAAATATTACATTATTGGTTAGTGAGAAATAATTTATAATTGGGCTTTACGTTTAATATTTTTGGAATTTTATTATTGGGCTTTTATATTTTTTTTATGGCAATCCATGGAATAAAAAGATTGAAATTGATGTTGCTGTCACGTGGGCCCGACACTTATAATTTTTATTGGACTTTATCTTCTTCAAATTACACAAAAATTGGGCTTTGGGGCTGAAACAGAGAAGTTGGAATAAAGAGAGAATAAAGTGAAAAGGGCTAGAAAAAGAAAGGAAGAAAATGTAATTTTTAAAAGGACTTTGACTTTTAAGAAATCCTTGTTTCTTCCCCGGTGGGGGACGGCCGAAAAGGATATAAAAAAAAGAAAAGGAGGAGGCGGTGTGCTGGGCAGTAGGCGTACGCAGTGGAGGATCAGAAAAAATGTCGATGCTTGCTATTTTGCTCTATTTTCTTGGGAGATTTTTGTTGTCCATCATATTTATGGGTAACTAATTTCCTAAGTAAGGTTAGGGATGAGCTTGCACAGTAGAAGATATTTTATTTATTTTTAATTTATGCAGTTGATTTTTAATTACTAAAAGTCTTTTGTTTTATTATTCTCAATTTATTGTTGATATTTTCTTCTACTGATAATCATAGAATTTATTCTGTTTATGGATTCAGTCATGTTTTTTCTAATGAATGGATTAATTCTTTGATTATGGTTGGACCAATTATTTATCTATGTTGATTTAATTCTTTGCTGCAACATTGCTTTCTTGAGTATATTGTCGTCGTTGAATTTTCTCAATAATGATAATAATTTACGTATTTTAAAAGTGGTGAATGATTTTTCAAAGGGTAATATTGGGTTTAATCTTGGTTTACAAATCTATATCTTCCGGTTGGGAATTTTGGGAATTAAATTCTCAATTGAGTTATTCAATGAATTAAGAATAATTAAAATATTATATTTGTACAAGGGATTCCCGACATTTGACTGTTTGTCAAATTTGAATATTTTTTTCGTTAGTCACTTGTTTCACTTTAATTTG